ATCTATCTATCTATCTATCTATCTATCTATCTATCTATCTATCTATCTATCTATCTATCTATCTCCATTTTTTTTTTCTTTTCTTTTTTTTTTACTTAGTAACTAAATCAAAAATTGAAAATGTATCGGAGTAAAAGTATGCAATTAAGTTCGTAAATGTAGTGAAGTAAAAGTGAAAGTTCTCAAAAAAATGTATACTCTTGGAAAGTATTAAGTACTCGAAAATATACTTAAGTACAGTATGTTTACTTTGTTACTATACAACACTGTATATATATATATATATATATATATATATATATATATATATATATATATATATATATATATATATATCCTCCCCCCCTTCCCTCACCTACATGCGTGCCTCAGTGTGCGCGTGCACACCGTTGTGAAGTTGGCGCGCGCCGCGCTGCTCCAGCTGTCCGGCTGCTCCTCCTGCAGTCCATCATGGAGGCGCAGCAGCTTCTCCTGTTTCTGCTATTTGGATCCTGTGAGGTTTTCAGGAGATGTTGTCAGAATTTGCTGGTTGCTGTCGGATCAGGATGTGTGAGGCAGTCTGCAGTCAGGAAACCTGCAGAGGAGCTGCTGCTGCAGCTGCCTGCTTCTTTTTCATCTTGTCTGATTTTACACATTTCATTTAACAAGCTTTGATCTGTAGAAAATGACTTTTTTTTCTCTTTTTTTTGGAAGCTGCTCAGATTTTGCCTTCACTGTAGGTCTGAAATATCGCCTCTCTGCAAAGCATGGGTAGATAGAAGTATCCAGATACAGCAGGATTTGGAGGCTAAAGACTGTTTGCATTAGAGCTGCAGCTAACCATGGCTTTGGATCTTTTCTATTAATTAATGCTGGAGCCTGGTTCTTCCTGTTAAAAGGGAGTTTTTCCTTTCTACTGTCGCTACAAGCATGATTAGTGTGGGGGATTGCTGAAGAGTCAATTAGTCGATGCAGTCAGCTCGTTTTCCTTCGATAGAAAACTTTGAATCAATCTAAATGAATGATCCGGTGAACTGGAAAGTGCCTTGAGATGACATGATGTGAATTGGAGCTATAGAAATAAACAGAATTGAATTAATTAATTAATAATTTGATATCCAAAAATTCCTTAAATTAGATGCTTTACCAAATCAAATGAGGTGACACTGAAACTTTTCCACTTGAGGAGTTCTGGTTAGAGCAGATTGACGGAAGAAAATGTTTATTTGGTCTTAAATGCAAAATGTCGATATATATTTGTAATATTTTGGTATTATTCCTGCTCTAAGTGGGTCACTCAGTTAACGATCAATCGATTAGTAAATTAGTTGATGATTGTTTCAATAATCGATTAATCCTATTAATTCTATTATTTGTTTCAGCCCCAGTTTGCATATTTCATTGGTTTCAGAATTCTGGATCTTTGCACATTAGATTTGTGCAAATTTGTGCACATTAATTTTGGAGCATCATAAAATTGTTTTATATTCAGATGATTTATTTTGCAATATATGAAGAAAGTGTTTGATGTTTACATTTCATGTTAATAAAAATATTTTTAATCCTTTAATAATATGTTATTCCATGGCATCAAGCATCGAATGTTTTTCCTGAACATGAATAAGAAGTTTATTGATTTTAATACTCTGATTTATGGGGGGGTTGGCAACGCCTGCAGAACCAGAACCTCCTCAGGGTCCAGACCTACCAGTGAAGGAGGTTCTGATCTGCTCTGTGAGGTTTGCTGCGGATCTTTTCTTACACAGTGGATTGTTCTGCTCGGTGATTTGCTTATAATGTGCATTAAATCAATGGAAATGAAATGATTTTCTCGCTGCTTCTCCTGTTTGGGGGTTTGAGGCCTGAGCTGCTGCCTCTCCTCTCCTCTCTGCGTCTCTATCCGCTCTTCTGCTGGAGTTTTAACTGCTTGGTCATTTTCATTGTAACGGTAGTTTGCACTGATTGATCAAGGCCATAAATCTGCACTCATACTGGTGGTAATGTTCCGTGGATGCAGCTGCTTTATGCAGACGCTCTGGAGAGAGAGGGTGTTGATAGAAAGAAGTGAGTCCATCAGGGCTGCTTCCCTGAGTCATTGTGTTCAGGATGAATGACGCTTCCTTTGGGTGCAGATCTCCTTCTCTGGGTTTACTTTCATTTTACGCTGAAGCTTGAAGCAGAAATCCTGATAAACTTTTCGTCTTTATAACTTTGTTCCCCATTTGCAGCAAATTCTGGGTTGAACTTTTATACGTTTTGATTTCCTTCAACCTAATTATGTAAATTTAACAATTTATTAAATGTATTGATCACTAATGATAAATTAATAAGTGGCCAATTTAAACTAAAAAGCTGAAAAATTTTTCTTTTATATCAAGAGGATGTTTCCATTCATTTAAGGGCCAGAATATTTTGTTACCATGTGCTGTATTACAAAAACTACCTAATTTTATTGGAATTATTTATTGTTCCAGCTGCAATAAACACTGAATGAATAAAAAATTGTTTTTTACACCTTCAATTTATTTATAAGATACAATAAAACAGGAACCTGCCAGGTTACTGCAAAACAGAATATGAATAAAACATGTGAACACATCTTATTTCCAATAAACAGAGATGTAGAGCTATCATTAATAGACTTTGTATGTAGCTTAGACATACAGATTACAGATTAATTTAATTAGGAATAATTAAGATAACAAAACAGGAACCTATCAGGTTATTCGTTTAGTTTCCATTCCCAAATTCCCTATTAAAAAGCTATTAATAAGAACTAAAAGTCTCCAAAGGTGTTCTCACCTGTAGAAGGTGTTCCACAGGTGAGAACAGCTCCTCTAAGCATCCACAGGTTAACACTAAATCACCTGAGGCCTCAAAGCTTTTTAGGCTCTAAAGATTTGAAAGTTTGCAGACATCAATGCAGTGTTAATTTCATCAGCTGTTTTTAATTTAGTGTTGATGACAAAAATCGATTTTAGTCTTAGCCAAATTTGAGTAATTTTTGTCATTTTAGTCAACACTGCAGAATAGAACTTCACACACTGCTTCTCTTTTTAACATATATCACACTGCACACATTGAACCTTTTATCGACTGTCATCATATCCACAAAGTCTTCATCCTCGAGCAGACTTCCCTTCCTTCATGAAATATTTTCATCATCGTCCTGGTTGACGAAATTAACACATCATCAACGGAAGACCTGCTGCAAAAATCAGCAGGCAGGGAATCGAAGGGTAATATGTATATACTGTATATATATATATATATATATATATATATATATATATATATATATATATATATATATAT